AAAATAAATCTCTATATTACGTCTTCTTAGAACTGATCTGTGATGGTGTGCGATTTTTCGAGCCAGCTTAGCAGGGATTAGAATTTCTCCAGAGCCGCTCTGCCGGGCTGCGGCCGGCGGGACTTCGCTGGCGGCGGCTGATTTCGTTCGACCGCCGATATGGTCGATCCCGCCTGTGTCGATGTCGTGTCACTGCGGGCTCGCGATGGGCCCGGCCGGGGCGGGCTGCTGCAGGCGGCCCGGGCGGGGCGGGGCGGGGCGGGGCGGCTCGCTGATGAACTGGGTGACAGCCCGTCAGTCGGACCGGCCGGGCTGCTGTCTGCCACCAGTCGCCCGCGCACGATGGATGGCCCTCCTCTCCGGCCAGATAGTGTTCTTCCCTAGACAGACTCGTCCATCACCGCCGTCCCGCGCGGCTGGCCCTCAACGCCCCGGCAAAATAAAGACGTTAACTGCCTTGCCCCCGCACAAAGCTGAGCCCCTCAGCCATTTAGAAAATTAAGTTCATATCTCCCGAAAGTAAGTTTGTCTTAGATACAATGAGATTAAATTCACTAGATGTTCCAGCGCATTACGTGTTCCATGCCGCAAACGCTGGATAGTGGACATATTGTTCAAATGTGTTCGTGTAGTCATTAGTTTTCGATGTTCGAATCAAACACAAAAACCGACAGCTCGTATGTGATCTACAATTTCAAGGCGTCCAGCATTGACTTGATATATAAACCATTGCAAAATGGCATGATTCAACGATATAGGCTTCTATAGTCCTGAAACTGAAGTGCAGCCTATAACCGCAAGAATGAGCACCAACTTTGCCGATGTTAACTCTACACAAAGATATTTTCAACTTTGTCAACTGTTACACCACTCAAACACAATCATTCAAAAGTTTGCGGCCGCTGACGTCCCGGCTCTATCGAGCGTCGGTATCATCTATCGCTTGCCTCTGTGTTGGCCCATAAACTGGCGCAGGCGGCCCCTTCCCACGCCCCCGGTGCCGCGGCGATCGACAAAACTGGCGCAGCCGAGGCGGTGTCGGCGCGTCTCCTCGCCACCATCTGCAACTGCCGGCCGTGCTCCCGAACGGCAGGCGACTGACGATCCTCCACCGAGCGAAGGCAAAGGTCACACAGGAAATAATGATCGAAAAAAGACACACGGGACAATGGCCATGATCGGACAACGGACACATGACAGACAGTGTTGTAAATTGAGAGGCAGCTCGCATAGAGACCATATTTCCTTTGATTTAGTGGAACGGTATGGCCTGGACTACGTGGGATGTAGATAACTAGTTACCATGAAGAGTGATTGATTCTACTTGCAAGCATTCGTAGAAAATGTTTTAGTTGGGCTCAAGACAGGAAGTTCAATTGTATCCTTTGGCGGTATTTACGCATTGATAAAGATTCAATTTATGGTTAAGTTGCGCAATACCCATTAAGCTGTTATGCTACTCGCTAAAATAACGAATGGTATCGGAAACATGGAACAAAATACCGATTGATATCGGAAACAGCAGCCCAGCAGTGATGAATACCAGAAAAGTAAGCGAAACGCATTTCCTGTTTTCCCTTAACCCTGGAATTAAATCACTTCAAGGTTATTATAAGCAGAGATATAGCAAAATTGGCGCCCTCATCACTCTCAATTACACTCAACACTAAACACTTAGCAATCAGTATTCACCCATCCGCCATTTTCTGAGACATTTCCCTCTGTCCGTCCGTCCGCCCGAGCTCAAGTGGTCTGTGCCGGGCGAGCTCCCGAGCCAGAAATAGCCTGGGAGGGTAGGCTGCACCGCAATACTCCGGTGCTCGGCGGGTCTACCTACCGATGCTGCCTGAAGGACCGAGCGGCAAATATGGACTCGTGATCGTCAGGCATATTAGATTGGAGACATTCATCCAGTGTCGAGCTGGAGCTGGCGATTGGTGTGAAAAAGATGCTTTTTAGTCAGTGTAGCATACTCGTATTATGTCTGAATGACTTATTATACGTTCTCAAGGAGCGCTACTACAAACACTCGGTGGTGGCCGACTTCGTGTTACGTCAGAAACATTTTTAGCCACAGTTACCTAATACCTTATACCTTATACCTTTAACTCTACAAAATAAGCATATGCAAGCTTAACTTACATGCTCTTAATGAATAATAAGAAGTTGAAAGGGTCACCTCTCTGTTCAAGGATAACATCAGGGGCTTATTTTTGCCAGATTTATAAGATTGGCGTCAGTAAAATCAGCCCCTGTTCCCTGTTGAATATAGACAGGCAATTCGAAGTTCAATGTTTAAATTTCAGAGATAGTTCATTCATCGTTATACTGATTATTCATTATCTTCATTGTGTTATTATTCATGTATGCATATTGAGGTGATTGTGTGGTAGCATGTGTGTGAATGCATCATGAATGCATATGCGTCTCTAGACTCAAAATGCAATCCGTCGCATTTAACATGATCTTTCTGTTTAGTAATGCATGTTTATCGTTTAATAAATGCACTGAGACTCGATTCAAAACTCAACAGGGCCGTGATTACTTATTACGACTTCTTGTTTTCACCATTTTTATGTCCAGGAAAATTCTCAAGCTGTTTATCAGCCTCGATCACGACAGCATACCGCTGTGGTTTGAGACCTCACCATTTATGTCTGGTTATGTCGTCTATATCGTCTATGTCGACCCGCTGCAGCGAAGAATCAGGTGACATTCGCTCCGGTTATCGTTGGCGCTGTGGATCACGCTGAGTAGGTCAGCAGGTCGGGCCTGGGAGGACCCTGTGGCCGGCTGGCAGTCACTCACCGGCCCTGTTTGATGGCAGTCAGGAAGGGAAGACCGGCTCGTTCTTTTGACAGACGCCAGGCCGCCGGGTCCGACCGCACCCGCTCGGTGCCCCGCTGCCTTATTTGCTCGTTGTCGATCCGTCCCTCCGCACACCCTGACCTCGATAGCGGCTCTATATTGCTCTGTATTACTCGGCCGTCGGTGAAATGTCGCGCTACCTCGATCCTTCAAACACGCTCAACGACTCACCATGTCCCCTGGGGCGCATTTAGCACATACCTTCCCGCGGGGCCCCAGAAATTTAGCTGAGGTCAATAGAGGGAGGGCGACCACTGCACCAAACGCTCATTGTTCATCGCACATCGCGAGGTATTGACTCTGTACGAGTACGTGTGTATGTGTGTGTCCACTGGCTGAAGTGCTGACGGCAGACGGGCGCTCTGATGACTGCTCGCTGACGTGGCCAGTCGATGGCCTGAGTCGGGGTGGCCGGCCACCGCGATGGTCAACACTGGTGACCGGCCGCTCGATGACACAGCAGACGACAGAAAACCGTCTGATGACACAGCAGACGACAGAAGACGACAGAGGCAATCGCTGCTAACACGGCAGACGGCAGACAACTGTCTGATAACACAGCAGACGACAGAGGCAGTCTCTGACAATACGGTAGATGGCATGGATGGCATCCTCTGATAGAACAGTACACGACAATGCCAATGTAGACGACAATGCCAGTAAAAGGCTGTCTCTGATAACACAGCAAACCACAGAAAACTGTCTGGTGACACAACAGACTGCAGAAAACTGTCTGATGATTGTGGACGACAGACGGCCGTATGGTACATACAGCAGACGACTAAAACAGATCACAGACGAATGACGACGCAGCAGGCAACAAACATCCGTTGCGTAGTGTGGCACAACTGACGAGTCATGGCCACTTGGCGATAGCAGCAGACAACAGTCAACCGTCTGACGACAAAGCAGACAACAGCCCACCGTCTGATGACCAAGCAGACAACAGCCCACTGTCTGATGACCAAGCAGACAACAGACAACCGTATGATGAAACAACGTACAACAGCCGGTCGATTGATGAGACAGTAGACGATTGGTGGCCGCCTGATAACACAATTGACAGCACTGACAAAAGGCCGCTCATATCAGACGACCGACGGGGCTCAAACGCTGTTGCATGACGCAATAGCTGTCAATATTTGCGGTCGACTCCCAATGAGATCGGTGTCACTATCGAGCGAGACGTAAGAGTGACAGGCAATCGATATGATATTTTGCAAGATATGATATTTTACAATGTAAAAATATGCTCAGAAGCTTAAGAAGTTTTGTTTCGAGCTATCAAAATCGAAACGGTTTGCTAGTTTGTATGGAATAACAGGCGTCGTTTATTACATATTAGTTGGTTGTCTTAAGTCCGCCTTTTCAGTAAACGGTAGCTAAATATGAAACCAATTAAGTCTACTATTTTCTGTGTGGAGTTTCTTGGAGAAGGGCTTAGCACATAAGTATTATCCTAAATAAATTGTTGAACGTTTTCGGTAAGCACTTATCTTCGTTGAATCCTTGGTTTGACGAGTGGCGACGGCGGTGGTGGGGTAGGCAGCGGGGACGGGTGCGGCCCTGTCGCTGGCTTAATTAGCTCACTCACAGCGTCTCCGGAGGCTGTCGGAGCGAGCGGAGCGTCCCCGGGGCGCGTTTGGCCGCAATTCAGCGGCACGGCTCGCCGTCCGACGCCACGATTTATGAGTCTCAGTTTCACCGACGGGCCTAAACGGCCGGGCGGCGCAGCGCCGGCGGCGGTGGTGGTCGACCAGCATCCCCGCACGCGGCGGCTTCACCGCCAGCTCCAGCGCCGGTCACAGACGCAGTCGAATCCTCACTCCAACAACACCCCGGCAGCCCTCTGAACTGTGCACTGACCTACACCAGCTGAACTGCTAAACGTTTCCGGGTGCGATCAACAAAGAAAGGGACAGAGCACTTTGGCCTGTAGGCTTACTTCATAATCACTATTAAGCATTGACTATGAGTGCTCACTGCTCTTGTTCACTTTGATTTGGCACGTTGATGCGGCTTTAATGACCTCGCGCTGGTTTATGCTGTGCTCAATAATCTGCCGGTCTAGACAGTGTGTCTAAGCCAGTCTGCCGGCGCTGCTGAGCTGACGCCGGTTTCCGTGTCGACAGGGGCGTTCCGGCTGTATGACGTCGACAACGATGGCTTCATCACGCGCGCCGAGATGTACAACATTGTCGAGGCCATCTGCCAGATGGTGGTAGGTTCACCGCACATAGTTCACCGCACACAAGTTGAGCAGACTGCAAGCTGATTCAACGTACACGAGTCGGACGGGCTACTTTATCTTATACCAGCACCGGGCGTAAATTATTGAAATAAGCCAGAGCTATGGATCTACTCCCGTAAGTAATACCCCGCGGATGTTATTTTTCGTCTTTCATTCCGCTGTCTGACTAGTTTACTTTCAATTGTTCTGCGTTCACCCTCTGGAGCTTCTTTCCCACTTCTTGGGGCGAACCTTTACCTTTCTACCGGAGACAAGAAATAAATGGCGCGATATAGATCTGATGGGAAATATTTCACCCGTTCTGCCTCGTCCGGAGCTCATTTACATACTGATAAACGACTTGACTGTGGGAAAGGCCATCACATTCCTGATACCTCAAATGATCCCGGGCTTATCCCCATGAAATTCGGGATGAGATTCATGATGAGATAGTGGTTCTGTCGTCCATAGGGCGTTCAAGCTATTCCAAATGGTCATTGATATGCTATACAGCGCCACACAGTCAATATGCCTATACCACAATGAAGACCGCAATAGAAATAAGGGGATAATAATTGGTCTGCATTAGTTCAAAAGGATATCGCATGACTATTAGCTAGCATTTATTAAATGCACCGCTAATACGTCACAGACGAAGTATATGCACATTCACGAACGGAGCAACCCAACAGCTTGTAAATCGAGAACGACTAAAAGTTGTAGGTGTAAGGACACAGGGGAAAGATACCTCTCTGTCCATGTGCTCTCCATCCTCGGTCCGTTCTGTAAGTGGTTTATCCAATAGCGACATTCCCCAGTGTCCCCTTAGGACCACTGGACTGTCTCGCTGGCTTCAAAGGACGACCGCCTAAATTAAGCAGTCGCGACACTGGGGCTCATTGGCGTGCCGCTTTATCCGGCTTTAGGGCCAGTTAGCCGGCGGTCTGTCGCGAACTGGCCCTGTCTGCTGTCTGGCCGTATTACAGTTCCGCCGGGCCGCCGCGCCGGGCCGCCGCGGGCCGCTCACTCACCGAGCCGCCAAATGGACGGCTGTCCCGGCCCGACCGGCCGCCGGTAGCTCAGCCGAGTGCGCCGCGCTAGGCCGACATAAGGCCGCTATCGCCGCGGACCAGAGCCAGCTAATGCCGTCAGGAGAGCCGCCCGTCCGTCCTAACAGGCAGTTAAGAGGGGCAGAGCACCCAAACCGCTACCCACTCGCCTCTGCACTGGTCAACAGAGCATGGTAGAGTTTCAGAGCCGCTACCCCCGCGTCTCTGACGCCTCTGTCACAGTCAGCAGAGAGGGGAGAGCAGAGAATAAGAGCCGCCCCCTCCTGCAAAGGTCACGTAGCCCTGGCATGCACTCGTTCCGTCGTCAGGCGCTCTGATGGCCTCCTTTCAAAACACTCGGGCATTGCCAGGTCAGGCGCGCAGCACAATTTCCGGACCCACGGGACCATCACCAGCTCATTTGCCAAATTATCGGCGGCCTTTGCTAGCAGCCAAGTGGACCATTCACAGGAAATGGGCGGAATGAGCGTCTCTATCAGCACGGCCCACTGTTGATTTTCCGCTTGAGGGTGTACAGAGCTCAATGAGCGTCCTGAAATAACACGCGTCTCTGCGTTATGACGTTTATTGACATTGTGTAATTGGGTGCACATCGTTCTTTTCAACAAAGGCGGGTTGCTCATAGCAATTTACGCCTTGAGGACGTAGTGCGCACGCCTTGAGGACGTAGTGCGTACATTTACAACCTTGACCATTTTTGCAGTTTGTTCGCTATTTCCTTATGGCTTCGCAGTTCTGTGTAAGTGTGATTGCTTAGTACTTAAACTATTAAATGCGCTAAATTTATTTTACCTCTCTCATATTCCATGTGAGGGATGGCATATAACGTTTGGATAAATTGCTATGCTTCATGAACTAAGCTACATTAATGGTTCTGACTGCTACAGATTTTCATAAGATTAACGTAGTCGAATATGCAAGCTATGTAAGTGAAGCAAGCAGATCACGTTTCTGGTTCGCACTGCACAGTGTCAGGCTCCGTGTTTTTAATATCCCCGGCTGTTCCGTCCGCCCCCAGGGCCAGCCGATAGACGGCGAGAAGAGCTCACAACGCGTGGACAAGATCTTCGACTCGATGGACAAGGACAACGACGAAAAGCTGACCCTGGAGGAGTTCAAGGAGGGCTCCAAGGCCGACCCTCGCATCGTGCAGGCGCTCAGCATCTGCGACTCCAACAACTGACAGTCGTCGGGCGGCGGGCGGCGCGAGTACCTCTGACCGCCCCCGCCGCCGCCCCCGCCCACCGAGCCGCCGCTGTGCCACCGGCCACGGGTGGTCTGTGGCCTCGGCTGAGGTCGGCCGGCTGACGTCTACTTTGCACTGAGGGCCGGTCTGTGGCCTCAGCTGAGGGCTGCCTGACGGCTCTGGTGGACTGAGGGCCGGTCTGGGGCCTCGCCTGAGGTCGGCCGGCTGACAGCTCTAGTGTGGACTGAAGGCCGGTCTGTGGCCTCAGCTGAGGAGGGCTGCCTGACGGCTCTGGTGTGGACTGAAGGCCGGTCTGTGGCCTCAGCTGAGGGCTGCCTGACGGCTCTGGTGTGGACTGAGGGGTCAGTCGGCGAAGCGGGAACGGTCATGGACAGGGGCAAATATGCCAAATGCCAGCGAGATTCGATCGGGTTGTGGCGCAAAGACAGTGACATCGCTGAGGGCAAGTGGAAGAATGTAGCCGATAGCAGACTGTGAGCGGGCGGACAGCTCAGAGGGGTACTGAGCGGCGGGCGGACAGATCAGCGGGACAGTGAGCGGAGAGGGGACAGCTGGGACAGTCAGCGGGAGGAGGACAGTGCACAGCGGTCTTGCATCCTGTGACGGTGCCGATGGTGAGAGGACAGTCAGCGTCCGGGTCGCCGGCCCCAGTCCGTCAGCAGTTTTCTGACTGTATAGCAAATTGCGACGGCGGGGATTAGAGGCACGCGCCGAAATCCAATTCACGCGAGTGTTCGCGCCAATGACAGACGAGTGTGTGTCTTATCGCTACACTGGAGATCAACAGCTGGGAGAGGAGCGCAAAGAGTGTGAGCTGAGGGCAGACGTGCCGTGTCTAGTAACCTGCGCCGTCATCTGTTGGAGAGAGTGGGTGTCAGCCCGGCGCTGTCTTGAGTGTCCTGTTAGACGACGAGCAGTGAGAGCTACCGGCTTAATCGAGTGACATGCCTCCTGAGACCCCGTGACGAAAGGCGCAACCTGCGGGACGTGCCCAGCAGTGTGTTAAAACCTGTCCGGTATCATGACCTCAGTCATGCTGTAACAAATCTTCTTGCTATTCCATTCCGATGTTGACGGGAAGTTTGCTGGCGGCGCTGTGTTCCCGCATCTGTCTACGGTCGGTGAGCCACGCCGCTTCTCGTGGCCGTTATGCATGGCGGGTCATTCTATCCGATACAGCAATGTGGATCAGTTTCGGTGTGGCGATGAACGAACATCGTGCCTCGGCGATACGAGTAGACGAGGCACATCGCTTACTTTTGCAGTTGGAGGAGTAGAAATTTGGCAATACGCCCTATATATTAGAGCTAAATGTATTTGAACATTTCATATGATGAATAAAAATATTGAAGAATGAAGTAAATGCACTCAGAACGTTCAGCCCCCGAATGCTCGGTCGCCGAAATGCCGTTTTTTCTTATGTCATGCGGGGAAGGCACTTATGAACTGCGGAGGTCCGGTCATCGCAGTCAGACTGTCGGTCAAGAGAAACAGCCGCCCTCTGCCGTCTTCAAACGTCTCCCTGGTGTCCCATTAAACTCTCTAAATGCCTTACTATTCACCCGGGCATTTAATGTCCATCAGTGTCCCACCACTCACCCGCCAACTGCCCCCACCCACCAGGCCAACTGCTCATCAACACTGCAGCTTCCAGATGATATTTAAATCCACGGACTGTCCCTCTGTCGCTCTATTTATAGATCGCCAATTTTCCGGCTGACTTGATGCAGTCCGATGGCATAATGATGCAGCATTTCTCTTCAGCATTTACTGATTCATTCACTCCAGAGTCGAAAGATTCTGAAACGTGATACACACAAAAAGTAGACAAAAAGTACAGAAACGATCGATATTTTCATTTTTCCTGCCGCCGTCTCGAAGGAGCAGTGTCGGAACAAAATGAACCAGGCACCAACACACTTTATTGGATCAGCTGAGACGGAGGAGGATGGCGGCGACCCGAGAGTCGGCCGACACAAACACCAGACCTTCTCTGCTCGAAAACAGCATCCACCAGAGGCTGGTGAGATAGGAATGAGGGGCCGTGCATTGTGCAAGGAGGGACAGTGCACAGCGGCAGTGCGATGGAGGGGCGGTGACGGAGGGGCGGTGGACGAAGGGACGGTGGACGGAGGGGCGGTGGACAGAGGGACGGTGGACGGAGGGACGGTGGACGGAGGGACGGTGGACGAAGGGAGGTGGATGAGAGGTCGGTGAACAGAGAGCCTGTGGACGAATGCAGGGCGATGGAGAGGGGTGGACAGGAGGTTGGACAGAAGATGACGGTGAATTATTGAATCATACCTTTGAATTGTAAAGGAAAATAGACGCTCACGAAGTATGAATCCACGTAATCTATGCTAGACACATATGGCTGCATAGCAGACCGGTCGCGTTCAGGGATCGCCTCTCGATCTAGGCGCAGCCAAGGCAATGGCGCAGCTGTGGTTAATGGTTCACCCCGTGCCGTGTCGGGAAGAAGGACGGAGCCTCGCCAGCGACCGGCCCAGTCGGCGCACCAGGCACCTCCGTGATAAATGGAGGGATATTAAATTTTGAGGTGATTCAAATCGGATCATCAATTTGATTTTCCCAGATGCTCCCCAATCAGGTGGTCCCGTATGCTGTTACATGTCAGGCCATAAAGATAGCCAGCATTTAAGACCTTTATTGATCAAACAACTTTTGTTACAAAGTCTTGGCTCCAAAAATGATCGTTACTTTCGATTTCTGATTTTTCGTTATGAAACTCAACTTTATGCATAGCCTGAAAGAGCTCACATTCAACTATTATTCTGTATGCCAGAGACACCAAGAGTCATTGCTGCTGTTTCAAGTGTGCACATAAATCGTTCACAACCTACTATGGACGTCAAACCCCTTGAGGCCCCACTTTTTTGCGATAATTTTTAAATGCGTCAACTCTCGTTGACAATATTCTGGCAATGTGTGCTTCAGAACCTGCCGAAACTTTTATTACTGAGGTATTTTGACGCCAAACGATTATTAAAGGTACTTCTCATTCACTCGTAATGTTAAATTTCACGGAACGAATCTGCTGTTTGGGTAGAGGCTACGCGCTCATGGGGCGGAGCCACGTAATGACGTCAGCGCTAAGCTCCGCCCTACCCCTCCGGCGCTCCTTGCCCGGCGACCGGTCACTCGCGTCTCTCGCTCCATTCAGGCTTGATGGTGGGCGGTAGCTGGTAGCGGTAGCGGGCGCTGGTAGATGGCATTTAGAGCAGATGGCGCTGGTGGCGGGGCTCGAGTGTTGCCGAGTGCAAGCCTCTGCCCGGGCCTGAATTGACCTTAACATTACGAGTGAATGAGAAGTACCTTCCATAGTCGTTTGGCGTCAAAATACCTTAGTAATAAAAGTTTCGGCAGGTTCTGAAACATACATTGCCAGAATATTGTCAACGAAAGTTGACGCATTTAAAAACTATCGCAAAAAAGTGGGGTCTCAAGGGGTTTGACGTTCATAGTAGACGATACACAGAGGTCCCTCCTTGTGAATGCTAACATTAACTTAACATAAAATAGAAGATATTTTTGAATGAGAAGCACTGTCTGAAGCACTTTTCGTTTACATAAGAAATGAGTGAATGACATGGCCACATGGAGGCATGGAGGCAGCTCGTTTGTTGTAGTTGTGAACTGACTGGCCACGGTCAGACGTGCATTAGGCTGGAAACTTCGTTCGCTAAAACCACCCGATGGCCGGTAATTGCATGGCTCTATTGGCAGATTGAGGTGAATGAAACCAGTTACTAGCAACCCTGTCGTGAAAACGAACCTATTGTCAGAAAGTTAACAAGTTGTTCTCTGAAACTTGAAAGCTACTCTACACCCATTATCTTGTTCCCTGGCCACAAAGCTTGGGCCTGGGATGCATAAATGGGTATATAGATTGAAAAGGTCACTAAAAGAATAAGAAATCCCAAAAGACAGGCCAAATGCACACCAACACAACATGGGTGAGGACACAGCACGATATGTGCACCATGGATCATTGGGAGGCATGAAAAGGAAGCCCATTTCTGTCGGCAAGTCCCGCCCATCACATCCTCCCAGTCCCCGTCCCGTCCTCGCCGATCGCCGTCCCCCCAGTCTCCTCCCCGTCCTCCAGTCACCGTCCCGTCCTCCCACTCTCAGTCGCGTCCTCCCAGCTCCGTCCCGTCCTCCCTGTCTCCGTCCCGTCCTCGCCGTCCTCCCATCTCAGTCCCGCCCTCGCAGTCACCGTCCCACCCTCCCAGTCTCCGTCCCGTCCTCGCCGTCCTCCCATTGTCCGTCCCGTCCTCCACTCTCCTTCCTTCCAGTCTCGGTCCCGTCCGCCCAGTCTCCGTTCCCCGCCGTCCTCCAGTCTCCGTGCCGTCCTCCCCAGGTTGACCGGGCACCTGGTTAACCGTCCTCCAGTCTCCGTCCCGTCCTTTCCGTGCCGTCCTCCCACTATCCGTCCCCTACCGCCCAGTCTCCGTGCCGCCCAGTCTCCGCGCCGTCCGCGCCCCCGGTCGGCCGGGCACCTGTTTACCATCCCTGGCTGAACCGCGCCGCCGGCGGCACCGGCACAGCTCACTGACGCGTGCGTGATCGATTCGAGATGAAAGTTAGTGCCGCCGCCCTCACAGGCGAAACACCGGCGGCGAAACGAGCGCCGCAACTGATCAAAGCCCGCGACCCCAGAAAGACCTACGTGTCACGATCAATGACTGGCGAGTGAAGTCAGAAGGCGACTGCGGAAAGAGACCGATCAGAGTCCCCATTAGTTGTTCTGTCCTATCGATATGCGTCCTTTGAAGTGAAAAGGAACGCTACTTTATTCTCCGTTTCTTAGCATCCCTGACTCTTTGTTCGAAATGTATACGGGAGCATTCTTTTGCGTCGTCTCAATAAATTGAAGTATCTGCAAAGATGCACGGATGGTAGATAACAGATGAATACGCTTATCAAGCAGGTCACGCCCAATCCCCATGCTATACCGGCTTCTGTTCCCCTTTGCCGCTGATCCCGTGTTCGGCGTTATTTTGGCCGGCCACGCCCGCGCTCCGGTCGGGTGTGGCCGACGCCGACCTGCCGCCGATGAGCGATGGCGCACTGTGCGCCGCTAATGTGGTCATTTGAGGCCAGGAAACACCATCGGGCCGCCGCCGCCGCTGGCACCATCCCACCTTTTCGGGCCCGCTTTAGATTTGATGGCCTCGTAAGCGAGAATAGATGGCCAGCGGTCGTCCCGCGGACTCAACGGTCGCGCCGCGCTCCGCATCGGACCCCAGTTCGGCTCCGATTTCCGACTGCACCGGACTCCGGGGTGGCTCCAATTCCTGACCACCGGACTCCAGTTCAGCATCTCCGACCGCCACACTCCAGGGTGGCTTCATCTCCGACCGCCACACTCCAGCTTGGCTCTTTTTCCGACCACAGGACTCCAGATTGGTTCAGATTCCCGGTCCCCCGGACTCCACCGTCGCTCGTCACCACGACTGTAAGGCTGAGGTACTCTGTAAACGCGCAGTCTTCATACATCCGACCGACGGTCGCCAGCCAGGCTCTCCATGGCTTCCAAGTTCCAACAGTTGAAGTCAAGGAAATTGGAGCAATCAACACCTAAGCTCGGTACAACCAAGATGCATAGGCGCTACCTTGAAAATGTTGGCTGAAACGTGAGTATATATTTATCTGGTATGGAGCCGTAAAGGTCTCGTTTGTTGGCCGTAGTTAGACTGAATATTATGAGATGCTGAGATGTATTTCAAGTAACTAAGATTCAAACTAGTTCACTTGGCTTACTTTGATACTGATAAATAAAAAAAGAAATGAAATATACAGGCTAAATTACCTTGCTAATTACCATGGCGACAAATTTACATTTCAATATTATGTGCATGATTTCAATTGCCCGGTAGTTCACACTTGGACTAGCGAGGAGTAGTGGATCAAATGCAGTAAGTCCCCTGTGCTATGGAGTTGCCTTTGCGATATATCTAGTCTGACTCTTTAGGGAGCGGTGAGAGACGACTTTAATGACTTGGTGGGCGCAGCTGTCACAGGTAATGCGCCGAAAGTTTCCCGCTTCCATGGCTGCGTCAAGTTTCCTAATATCACGCTGGAGAACGAGAAACGACAGTTTGGCGCAGACTGTCGACAGGAGCCTGCTCGAGTCGTGAACAGGAAGACTGAGAGTCGAGTGCGTTCAGCTATCGGAAGAGGCGTACCAGTTTCTGATAGCAAAAATCGGTATAAAAAGAATAACAAAGTAAAAAAGAAAAACAGAACAAATAGAGCATATAAACAGCATTTTCCAGACTGTTGCATGCAGCACAAACAGATATAATACGATGTTTTCACGAAATTTGGATCTGAAGGACTGGGGGGAGGGGCACGCATGTGCGATTAGCCAAGTGCAATTAAACTATGTATGAACTTACGATTTGAATGGGCCTAGCACGGGCACAGCTGTCAGATGAAATGCACCAAAAGTAACCAGATCCCGCTTCCACGGTTGCTTCGAGTTTCAACTCCTAATCATAAATGAATTAGTGTGTTTACTTATCGTCGATGCTGGGATTACGCTCAAACTTAACGTTCAAACTAGAACGTAACTTCATAATCTTATGCCGCTGAGCTCGGCAAAATAACCTGACTTGACTCGTGTGTTTATTCATAGCAAATATAATCAATAACTAATATCCATACGACTATCTATAAACTACAAAAAAAAAACATAACCGTCATAGGCGTCATAATAGAAGCAATGGACCCGCAATCGCGATCTCCCGAGTCCAGACAGTCTGTCCGCGATCTGCGGGGTTCCGCCGCGCCCAGCGCAGAGCCAGAAATAGACTGTCCTGGTAGGCTGTACCGCATCACACCCGTGCTCAGCGGGACAGTCGCGTCTTCAGGCCGGCGGCAGACGCGGCTGCTATCAGTATCGGGAGCCGAGGCGAACATAAGTTTAGGGACAAAGGCTTATGATTTGTATTTGACTAATTACAGCATGTCCTGCATTTTCTACAACTGGCCTTCACAAGAAAATATCTTTTAGCATTTCACCAATGAGGGTAGGAGGACGAATCAATAGTAAATGAACTGTAGCTATGTCCACCTCGATGGGAGAAAGACGACACCCAGAAACCAGACGAGTTAGGTACGTCTGCAGAAGATCGAAAGTCGTAAGACGTGGTAAGGTGCACAAAATATTTCCATTATCATTAATCGGCATGCAGCGGATATGGTGGATATGCCTTCAAGTTCTTACAGTTGTTCAGAGATGTGCAGTGTGCACTGATCAGCATTTATGATCCACGGCTGTGGACGGTGAACGAATTTGAGAACCGGCCCAATCTTACGAAATGACACACTATTCTATTCACGGCATTTGGTAACATTAACAGTGATACCAGTGCCGACAAACGGTTATCCGAGTCAACGAAATGATTCTTTGGACCGTCAACATACGATGGACTGAAATGCGTAAAAAACCTTTTTGCATTTGATAACCGTTTTCTGCAGCTGAACTTCAGCCAGTGCTGCCATATAGAGGTCTGCACCGGCCGGCTGCAGCCGCGGCTGGCTGCAGCCCCACGGCTGTGGGCCGGGGCGGCTGCAAATATCTCCAAGAACACGGCTACGGCTGTGGCCACGGCTGTGAGATTTCAAGCTCAATCTTAAGTACTCAAATATAAAATTTTAAATCCTTAATCTTACATTCTGATAAGCAGTATAGCCTGTAAAAATCATGCAAAGGATGCCCAGCAACATTGAAAGTGGTGAAGCCTTTGAGAACCTGTAATGGTTTTACCATTTGCTGTAGGGGAGTTTGCACTCTGGTACAGAATACTAATAATAGGTACCAATTGTTCCTTCATTATCAAGAGCTTGACAGTTTCAGAAAATGCAACATGTTGCATTGTCACATCCCTCTCAAATCAATCTCACCTGGTCATTAGGAGAGCACCTTACAGCTATTGAAGACGAGCGTTCAATAATTCTTTCAGGTAATAGAAAAAGAAATCATGCCTAGGTAAAGGCAGGTAAAGGCTTCATAAAATATTATCTAAAATACCTCTTAGATGAATTTCTGGATTTTCGGCAAGTCCAATTACAAAATATAAAACTGGCGCTTTATGTTCTAACTGGTGTGTGAGTGACCGCTAACAGAAAATGCCGATCAATGAAGCCAATGGAATTAGATTATAAGTGAGCATGAACCTTACTTACGGTTAATTCACATGATGGTGAAAACCCTGAACACGTAATTCACATGACGGTGAAAACCCTGAACACAATATTTCTTACGCGAGCTGTTGACTTTACTAACAAAATGACGTCTTCTTCTAGAAATGTAAAAATTTGATACTTGATCTTTGTTTTAGAGCAAGTTTTTAACTGCATAGCGTTATTATTTAAAAAATTATAATTTTTATGGCTGTTTATAGTGAAACAAAACAATTTATTGCCACTTCCTTTCTATTGACGTCATTAAAAACTCAAGTAAAATTTTTGATTGAAACAGGTAATTGTGGCTCGCACGTCCTTGGGGATTTGAGCGAAGATCATTATTTGGAAAAATCAAACTAGATGAATGTTTTTCTTTCTTGGATGCTCACTAGTGTTTTGATGCCTTGCATATCAAATCAGTTTGAGACTTGCTCGGAAGGCTGCTTCAAGCCTGGCATATCACACCCCAGAAAATATGCAAGGTAAGAAAGAAGCAAGAGTTTTGACTTAGACAATCACTGTTTGACAGTCCATCAACTTCAGTTTCATTTTCCATACCTAACATTGATAATGAAAAGCATCAGGGTCTGTTGTTCTGTCCCACAACCATGCTTCAGGATTTGGCATTAGATGTCTACACTGCTAGTGCTTCTATTCTGGTTTGTTGTTTATGTTTTCTGTTGATGTAGGTACCTACCTACCCATCTTTCTTAACAACTTGCAAGGGCTTGTGTAGGCATGCATTGCGCATCAGGCTTCAGGCCTTCGGCCTAAAGCCAGATACACAACCACTTAACCTATGATGCTTCATGAGCTTGAGAATCTATAGCCCATTGCAATGTGCCTTTGGCTATATGTTTCAACTAAAAACAACTTAGTATATACTATTTGGTTGCATTTCATTGAAAGTATCAACGGCCGGCTGACGGCTGGCTGCCCACAGTTTGCCACGGCTGTGGGCGGCTGTGGCTGTGGAGCCACGGCTGCGGGGCGGCTAGGCTGTGGAAAATTGCAGCCGTGCAGAACTCTACTGCCATATCCATTCCACGGCGTTTATAAGATTGATCCCAGGTGATAGTCACCCTTTTACAGCCGATTGCGTCGTGGTAGATATCCGATTCCGGCATTCCATGATCAGCGAGCTCGTGTCTGGTGTCCAAGTGAGCTGCTCTCACTCACTTTCCCACCCCGGTACCTAAGTCAGCGGAACGTTTTCAGTGACCCAGTGCGGCGACATCGCCCAGTAACCGGTCGGAGCGCTCGGGAGGACGGTCCACGGACGGCAGTCGCTAGGGCCCGCGGACAGCAGTCGCCAGGGCCCACCGCCGTAAACGAGAGATCGGCCGTGGGCAGGTCGCGAATTTCGCACGTCGCTTGGCGGCAGTGGCCATCCATCTGTCGACCAGGCGCCGTCCGCAGGCCGTTGCTCAGCACACAGACATCGCCGCGGTTCTGGGTCGCGGCACTGCATGGTTCAGGTCACCGGCACTGCCACGGTCCATGGTGCCGGCACCGTCATGGTTCAGGGTGCCTTAGCTTAGGGTGCCGACCACACAGACCTCACCCGCCGGCCGCCCGCCTCTGGCTCCGTTTGCTGCCGGAGCGGACAGGCCCAGTCTGGCTGGGTTGATCGTGCAGACATACGATAGCCGACCAGAAAGAGCGGAGCAATGTATCAGAGCGGCGCCTATCGTTATCCCTCTACCTCAACCAGGCCCAGCCCCTCTACCCACCCACACTCACCCATGGTCCACATACGCAACTGACTTCCCCGCTGGGCATCCTTGTGTCAATAGCGTTGGCCATGGCGCTGGTAATAACGCCACTTAAAAGCGTGGGGCCCCCGACATGAGAGGCCTCGTCCCGATGTAATGACTGTGTGGGCGCCGTGGACGGGGTGGAAGGGTAGAGGGGGGGGGGTCAGATTATGTCAAAATGGGACCACTCGACCCCACCATAAGGTCAACTCGACCTGCGTTACGATGCATTGCAGCGCGCCAAAACGGCGCCCACGTTTTTAGATGTCACAATTTTACGGTGAGTGTGTTATTGACGGCGTCATTTTATACGGAATGGTTATTTTCAACTGCTTTATTAGTGTTGTTTAAAGCCTGATTCGAAGCAAAGTAAGCGGCTTACTTTAAACCAAAACATTGCGTAGCATTTTCAAAGAAGCCAATTGTGTGAACAAACAAGGCACTTCAGCCACCGGGGATGGCGCGCTTTGTAACACTGAGACACTTTCAGTTAAAATTATAAACATGAAGGGTTTGAATAAAAAAAAAATCTTAAGAACATAAGCTCTCATGCTAAACAAACTTGAAGACTAACTATTTACCGAAGACAATAGTTCATTAAAGCAAAGTGGCGTGGAACTGTGACTGACACTCCATTGCGGTTCCCGTCATTTTCTGCTCGGATATTATAGCTTTGTTTTGCTCCCGTCCGTCCGGGACCATCCCATCCCGGCGGCACGGCGGCGGTGACGGCACAGCGCCATCGCCGCCGTCCGCACCGCATTAGAGCGCGTTCTGACTGGGCGCAGCTGCAGCGACTCTCTGCCACTGGCATAACAACACGACCTCGTCAGAAGACTCACTTGTATTACAGACTCGGCTCAGCGGACGGCGCCGGCGGCCGCTCACCGCTCGGCGGCGCCCGCAAAGTATCACAACAGCGCTTCAGCCCGGCGCCGCAGACTGGGGCGCACACACACCGACAGCCGGGGGCAGTGCTGGCAGCGGGACGGGCGGCGGCACACCAGCGCTGAAATACACCAACGCTGGAACATACCGACGGTCTGAGGGAGACGACGAACACCGTCTCTCCCCATAGGACCGCAGGTGACTGGAGAGGGGGATCAGATGGCACTTCGGACGGCGTTCTCAGCTGGACTCCTCCAGGGCCACCTCTGTCTGAGCTCTCACGTAGAAGGCGCCCTGCTCGTGGTAGGTGGTGAGCTGGGACAGCAGGTCGGCCGGGAGCTGCGCGGCGCCGCGCGAGGTGACCAGAGCCGTCACCAGCGCGTACTTGGCGTCGCGGCCCTCCTTACTCGACTCGGTGGAGCGGTCCAGCAGGTACTCGACGAACCCTGTCGGAAGGGGGAGCGTGCGGAGATCGCGTCAGGCCCACTGGCTGTACCAGTCACAGATCAATACACACTCTGAGACCGTGAGAAGATGACGCTAGATTCTCACAGTCGCCAAGGCGCGGTATTGTTTTTCCCCAAAGTTACGATTTTTAATCAAAACAGTCAAGAGGAATATGCAAAAGAGAAAAGTGCGTACTAGTGTGTAAAAATACGGACTCTTTCACGAGAATGTTCAGAGATCAAACAGTTTAATTCCCAGACCTCATTTTTCCGTCGAAGAGTTCCGCCTCGAGTAACTAAAGTTTCCGATGCAAACAACTTTATTGCATGAATCAAAGGAGTCTGAGACATTCTGGGAACTGCTCGCCCCCGGTAGGTCGCGGCCGTCGGTCGGGCAGTCGGCCGCTCCATCTGTCTAAGTACGGGTCGGCGGCACGGCAGGCAGGGAAGGGTTTTTACCGGGCTGCACCTCTAGTGCGGCGGCCGATCGACTCTGCGACGGGCCATCGGTCTGCGGCGGCCGCCGGGACCGGCACCGGAGCATTACTCACGGCGTCGGTGCCGTCGACGGCAGCCGTGCGACCGGGCCACCGGCGGCGACCGGCCGGCCACCGACAGCGGCCCCTTACTTAACCGGCGGCCGACGGATCACCGAGATCCCAGGAGGGAGTCCACAGGGCCCTAGCGGCGTCAAAATGTGCCATCAGACGATACAAATACATCTGGATTAAATCTGGATAACTTTGGATAAACGATGTTCATCCTATTCTCAAAGGCTACTCGTATAGCTCGCTCATTGCTTCCCTAATCTTCCATCTGAACACCTTTTGAGGCCAGTAGTGGGTAACTTGTAAACCGTCACTGTTAAATGGTGCACGCGAATAAACAAGTCAGTTCACCACAAACACTCTGGACCCAGCAGTAGCGCTGAGGAGCCGACCATACCGGCTGGACTTAGCACGGAGCGGAGAGATTCCCTCTAAAATCTTTGATGCTACGACGCCTTGGTTTCATGTCATTATACGCGAAGTTTGGCATTCCCTGTGCATGTAAAACTAGTAAGCAGCCAAGTCTGCTGAGAAACGAAGTGCTGCAAGATAGATTATATCCGAGACGGAGACTCCATGGGAGAGAAATATATAACTAGGGGCTGAAAGGCAGGCAACATCGAGGCGAGCAGCTAGCTGCTTGTCTCAGCAAATGTCGATGCAACGTGCATTTTCATGCAATCACGAACAGCATGCATCACATCTCGCCATAAAAACATCAAGAAATAGCTGAAAGTGCAACCGTGGTGTTAGCGGTGAAACATAGCACTAACGGAGACAGCAGGTCGCTGGACACTGACAGCTACCGGCAAAATTACTGCTGCATCGCCATGATTTAGCCTTGCATTCATGATCGCAAGACATTCCAATGTCTACCTGCTACAATGATTAGCTATTTACGAAGTCGCCAACAAAACAATCAACACTGAAAGGCAAACTCATAGGCATCAAATCCAGGAACATACCAGGTGAGTTGGGGGGAGGGTGTATCATCCACGTGGTCTTATTACGACTAAGCGATTTGGCAACTTCATTCACAACGCTGAAGATGACCGATCCCCGATCCACAGCTTTCATCTCTCACATTTATTGTCGGACAGTGTGGAAATAAGACGAGCTTCGGAGCCAATACAGACTGCTTCAGTTCCAGCCCAGCCGCGACAGTTTGAGCCCCCAATTCTACGCTCCGTACCACTACCTTTCACACACGGCCCATCGCTGACAGTGTCTCTGTAAGCTCGGTATCAGTGTCGGCGTCGGCCGGCCTCACACACAGTGATAGCTGGGTGGGAGAAGCACTGGTGCGAGAGTGCGTCAGGTGGAAGAGATCGGGTCGGAATAGGCCAGTGACCGGTCGCCCGTGGCCGAAACAGGGAACTGCGCGGAGTCTCCAATCCCCAGGTCTGATCGCACTGTCACCACTTGCACTGGGAACAGAAGTCCAACGTCCGAATGGGAGATGTCAGCAGTGACGCAAAATACTTGCGCTCCATTGACCTCCTTGCGAACGAACATAGGGAGAGGCGACTGGACACTAGCCAGGCACGTCATCGTTGGCCAGCCTAATACAGGGCAGCGGTGTCATTAGCATGGAAATCAGTTTCGGCACCCGCCAGTCACGGAACTGAGCCGATCAGAAGTTGGCCGCACGGCGCACACGTGTGCACCGAGTTCCCAGACTGACAAACTAGTGAGCGGTCGGACACGGACGCCGACAGCGAACACCGCAGGCTCCGGCCGCGGCTGGTAGCGGCAGGACTCTCTCTCACTCCACTGGGGACTCACTCCGCCGGGACTGACTCTGCCTGACCCGCCGGCAGCCACGAACTTTGCGAGTCGGTTCATGCTTCATTACGCCCGTCCAATTGATTAACCAACTGTCCCCGACAAATGTACCGACCCAGTAGAAGTTTGTACTCGGCAAACATTGACTTGCAACCGGCAGCCGTGGCCCGAGCTAAATGACGCCGAACACAATAGACCGAGCAGTCAGCGCCCCACGGACACAGATGGGACGCAGGTGTCTGGTCGGAAACAGACGAGCGCCTCCTAAACTACCAGGCTACGGCAGGTTTCGGCCGCTATTTCAAGATATGCTGGGGAGTGTCCTAAGACATTTTCAGACAGGATCGGGCGGTGGTATCTGTGGGGCGGTGGCTATTTCCAGACAGCGGGGACAATTAATGTGGCCGAGTGGCGTGGCGCCGGCGACGCTGTCAGCCCCATAACTCAGAGGGCATGTCGGCAACGCGATATTTCAGCGGCCGCCGCGATACGGTATCGACACATCAGTCGCAAACGATGGCCCGCCGCAACATAAATCTCCATCATGTAACAATGGATCAGATGAGCTCAAAACGAATTAACATTACGACGATTTAGCGAAAATAACTGCATTCAGCTGAAATGACCGCAGTGCGGCCAGACAAATTGGTGTCTCCTTGGCAGAATAGATGACTTATTGAATGTCCATGTGCTAAATGAATTGCAAAAAAAAATATTAACACATTAACAAAAATATATACCTAGGCGGCGAACTAATTAACTGGAAATATTGACAATAAAATAGTAAACTGCATGATATGAACACGGTCTGATATTTGCATGACATAAACCCATCTGAATATGACTGACGACATCCAACAGAAACAATTAAAGCCTAGCCACAGCCCACAACGTTAGACTTCATCAATGGTGTCTTGGAAATATATATTAAAATGTGCAAGCTTTACAATTTCAAACTTTCATTAATGATTAGCAGCTGACCATTAAGATCACCAACAAAAGGGATGTGAGGTCTGACACAATCATTCCTTAATTTTGTAAACTGCGTTGTAAAATATCATAATCATGTTAAATATCCTGTGTTTAAAAGAAAGAAATGAACATTCCATATTTCAAGGATCAGCCAATGCCTCCGCAGGAGCACCATCACAAACATCCTCAGGTCTTCCGGTATCATCACACCTTGGTTGTATCCCCCTTGTCCTGTGCCGCCGCCAAACCCGCCCACCCGGCGTTCCTAATTAGCCCATCCCCTGATGTTCCGGGTGACCAGTCCGCCCTGTGCTCCTAGTGAACTCCCCCTCCCCCGCGTTTGGGGTGACCCATCCATCCGCTGTTCCCCGTGACCCGTCCTCCCGCTGTCCCTCATGACCCGTCAGCCCGCTGCCTCCAGTAGCCCCTCCCTGGTGTTCAGATGACCCACCTGCGCGCTGCACCATCATCTGCTGGCCCCAGTCGAGCGCGGCCACGACGGCCAGCAGCCGCAGTGCGCCCAGCCGCAGGTCGAGGAACGGCTGGCGCGCCACCGACCAGATCATGTCCAGAGGCTGCGGGGCCACGGCCGCGAACCAGGTCCGGGTCAGTGTCAGCAGGTCGTCCGTCAGGTCAGCAGCCTGCAAACGCAGAGGGCACAACTCAGCACACAACGCAACACAACTCAGAGCGCAACATGGGCACAACTCAGCTCACAACATGACACGAATCAGCTCACTTCATGGCACAACTCAGATCACAACGCGGCACGGCTCAGCACGCAACACGGATGAACTCAGCTCTCCAGTGACCTGCAGCACGTTGCGACTGAACTCACATCATAATTCAACTCAGATCAAAGCACAGCAAAATTCAGGTCACCGGGTATGCAAAACGACACAACTGACCGCCATTCTTCACTTCATGCACTAGCAGGCGTCTCATCTGACGTAGTGCAAATAGCAATATCAGAAAAAAAAATACAGATGGATGTAGCAAATCGGTGCAAAATGGCGTTTCTTTTTACGATTAATTGAAAAAAGGTTATTTTTGTCGTGTAGGTAAGTCAAAATCAGTAGATTCAAGATGCTTTACATCAATTTCTTGTCATATTGGTGCTCCAGCTAAAGATATATCAAATTTATTGCACGAACAACATCTAGCGTCAAACCGGTACTTATTATACCAGCGTGACCTTCCGATAGATCCGTCCCAGACACCAGTTCGGCAAGCTGCATCAACGATAAGCCTGCTTATACTTTGACCTTTGACCACTTCGTCGACAAGATTTAGAGCCGCTACACAGCCGATTTAAGATTCGAGGGCCCCTTCTGCGAATCGAACCAAGTCCAATCGACAGAGACGTGAGAGCGAGAATGGGCTCTGAGTGGGAGCTGACAGGTCGGCCGCGGCGGAACGGCCGGCCGGCCGGCGGAGAGGGCGCCGGGCACGCAGACGTTATCGATGGACCCGGGCCGGCCGCTGACGGCCGAGTGGGCGCGTTGTGAGCGGCCGGCGCGGCACCGCAGAGCTGCCCTCGTTAACCCCGGTCACGTTCGGGCAGCCGCAGCGGCAGCGGGGACCGCCGGACCGCCGCCGGCGGCGTGATCGACGTGCTGCCGTAGGCGTGGGGACCGGCCGCGCAGGACGGCAGCCATTCGTCCAGCTGCTGCTAGTTGCTACAGGAGTGGAGCCGGTCACGCAGGACCGAGTTCATTCGTCCAGCTGCGCCGGCGAGGACGTCTGTCCCGCTGGTCCGCTCGGCCCACAAAGCACCGTCCAGACCTCGGATAAAGCACACCGTGCAGCTGCCTTCCGCCGGAAAACAGCTTAACTCGATACGAAATTATCTAACAATTGAGTTTTGACACAACAAAAACAGCTAAACTCCATTTCCATTTAGCAATCCCGAGCAGCACAGAGAGCCTGCGGGGTGGACGAAGACAACACACGCACGCCCAGGCAAAACGTTAAAATGTTTGATAACTTGTGAAAAGTTTCTAAGGTTTTTATTATGGCGCAGAAATGTCTCCACTGCTGTTGAAGCAATGAGAATCCCAGGTCAATAACACAGCCTCCAGTTTACTGCAAAATGGGTAGCACGCAACACACTGGAGACCGCCAACTGGCCAACAATGAAGCGTGCAAACAGCGCCGAAGTTTGCCGGCCTTTCGAAGTGCTGCGTCGGGTCACATAGCCGCGGGCCGCGCTGAGGCGCTCTAACGGAGGCGGACCGCCGTCGGACGGGACGTTACAGGCCGGTTCTGCGGACAGCCGCTGAAAATACAGCCTGGTTAGCAGCGCTGCCATGCCGGGGAGGAGCGCTCGTTAAATGTGGGCAGCAGCAGAGGCGGCAGCGGGGGCGGGGACGGGGGCGGCCCGCCGAGTGAGTCGGCGACGGAGATGAATCGGCCACTTCTGCCAACGGCGCTCGAGATGGCCCCTGTGTTCAGTGGTGAGACTGGTGAGACACACTGGACGGCACCGCCCGCGGCGCTAACAGATCCCCTGTCACCGGAGCGGAGCCACCAAAATGGGACCGAATCAGCCGCACAGAGCAGGGTAGTTAGACGGCGACACCACGCCGAGCGCGCACATAATCCGCTGGGGCTCACACCGAGTTCCTCACCCGGCGCCCTCCGAGTTAGTTCGCCATGGTGCTCAGCGGGTCGGGCGTTAGGCTCCCTCACACGGCAGTGCGCTGTCCGCCTGTGGAATGGAGCCGCCGCTGTCGGCACGGCCCTGAACTTCGTCAGACACCGAGCAGCTCCAGCCTTCGAGCGGAGCGAAATAAGAGAATGGGGAGAGAAGATAACGACTACCACGACCTGGGCCCTCGCAAGTCAGATTGAATTATACCCGCATGACCCACCCTTCATTTTTTTTTTATCCGAGAATCATCAAAAATAATAAAAACGAAATAAAAAAATCGGCAAACGTACTTGCGACGATTGCCGTCAGCCGATTGGCGTAATAACAACGGCACCGATCGCCGACATGCACAATCTAGTTAACATGGCAGCAGATTGGCTAGATTGTCAGTGACTGTGCATTGTGTGTTTTATTATATGACTTCATTGGTAATTGGGTGTTAACCCTTTGGTGATATGTCAATAAACTAAGCTAAACTAAACTAGAAATTCAGGGGCGTCATAGCGACTACATGGTTTTAATACCAGTGGATGAGTCCCCGTAAAATGACTTTAGATTAATGACGTTACCAGGAAGATAAGACTGCCTGGAAGCCAATAAAACCGTCCTACCGGCGCCATGAATGAGCTGCTGGCAGCGGTGTCCATCCCATCAGCGACGCACGCACATTACGTCAGTGGCAGCGACGGAGCCGCGGCGCAGTCGGATCGCACCGCTCTGCACGACACTGAGTAGGTCTGACCCCCCCCCCCCCCCCCCCCCCGGGATCAAAGGTGACAAGGACAGGTGCCGCGGTCAGGGGGAGGGGCGCCGGTCACGAGACGGGCCGAACGCGTAGGTCAGGGGCACGAGGTTAGGGGGATATGTGGGGATCGGCATGTGGAGTTTTTTTGTTTTGTTTTGTTGGGTTAGGCCCTTTCAGTCTGACAAAACCATTTCAGAGCCGGAGAAGAAAGCTGGAAAGACTGCTTATGTGCCGGAGATGTAACGGAATATTCAGTTGGTCCGACATAGCCCACTGGTGCGAGGACCGGCCGTGCCGGGTTGTGAGTAAAGGTAGAGCCGTCTGACGGCACTAACCGATGGCACGAGCCCGGACGGGGTCATTAGGTCGGCTCCCTCACCCCTCCTCGGCCTGACGGTCACGCATGCCACTGGACGTCTGTTCCCAGACACCCAGACAGTCACGGCTGGCCGTGATCTCCTGGAGCGTCGGCCGTCGGAACCGATCACGGTCTGCAGGGTTGGAGACCCGCGCCGACCTCCCACAGCCACCAGCACGGCCTGTCACTGGATGAACGGCGGTTTGAGGAGGTTCTTTTACACATCCGGCCCTAGTTTACTGCCCAGAAATGCTGACTCCGACAGGCCGATGATTTATGTGCGCTGCAACTTAGTAAATGAATAAGACATATGCGAATACAAGTCCTACCGAGCAGAAATATGTAAGTTATTACTGCAAACGGGTAAATAAAACGAACCAGAACATCCACCCAAGTTTTGTGTCTGGGTAGCCAATGAGCGAGCGGAACAGAACAGCAAACAAGTGGCTGCGAGCGGCGCTGCGGCCAGTGCAGACCCTCAATCAGAGCAGCCAGTGCCAGATGGCTTGTTTACGGGGCCCCAAGCAATCCATTACGTCACGGACAAGCGAGTGGTTCTAACGACTCGGGGAACAAAACTCGGCCGGCGCGGCAGCCAAACGCGGGCTACCCGGGGAGCGCCTGCGAGCGGGCCTGTGACGCTGTCCGCCGCCCGGAACTCGTGTTATTCACAGCCAGTACCACTCGAGCGCCGTTCGAGAGACGGGTGGCGACGAAAACAACTCATTTAAAGTCAATAGCGCGCGGCCCTGTTCCTCGTGACCGTTGCGTTATCTCTCGGAGTCGGAGCAAACTGTGATAACAGCATCATCGTGCATTCACACGCCTCATAATGGCGTGACGCGAGGCGAAAACACACCGTCTCTGAATAATGCGATGGCCAGCGGGGCGGACGCCGGTTCGAGGTCACAATCAGCCATCGATCGCAGCTGGACTAATTGGGCGCCGGCGGCGGTGGCGGCGGCAGCGATGGTGGTGGCGGTGGCATCCAACCGATGAGGGGAGCACACAGCTCGGGGGTCCCCGATCACCATCGGCGACCGAGACGGCCGACCTATACGGTTCCCAGTCAGTCTGGTCAGCCACTGCGATCTGCAGTGGCCAGTGATGACTCACGGTTCGTCGGAAGGTCATCTCAGGCTCAAAAGAAACGATATATACCATTCGAAAGCTTACGGTGAGCTGAATCCAAAAATGTATTTTCTATCAAAATCGATCGATGGCCTTTTTTGAAAATTCCGTTTTTCTAAAAACTTAATAATCTTTTATTCAACGGGCTGTCCCGGACATTCTTGAAAACATAAACATGTATTTTTGAGTTCCAGTGAAAGCTGAACGCCAAAAGAACAATATTTAGCGAAGCAATATTTCCAAACATTAATATGCGTCTCCCACAGTCGAAAATAAGGCGCAATCACACAGCTCAGTGTCATGATGGACCAAAGTCAGCCACACAGAAGCGTGAAATGACCCTTATCGACTTGCAGACCCGGCGCTCTCGGCCCGCCTGACCGGCCACGGAAAGAACGTTCGGCTCTCGTTCTACTAAACAAATGTCAAAGTTGTCAGTTTAACTGTCCACATCGCTATTAAAGCTATTCAGGATACCTGTGAAGAAAATTCATTGTTCTGTCATCTTCACATCATGCATTAATTTGCATCTGTTCATGTCTACTTTGCTCAATTGAGCTTGGTATCATGCCCATATAAGGAAAATTGGCCGCGCTGAAATGTCAGAGGCTGCACCGGCCTCAGCTCGGGTGGAGTGGGGGTAGCGCCCGGCGGGGCAGGGTAACCTTTGACCGGTCGCACGGCCGAGCAGCTGTCACCAGTACAGCCTCTGACAGTGAAACCCCGCTCACTTCCCCTGCGCGGGCACTGATCG